TTTTTACAAAGAAAGGTTAAATTACATCTGCTTACTCCATGTAAGTATGGAACATTGAGAGCATATAGTAAACAGCAGTGCCTACTACACATTGTTATTTACCAATCAAATGTTCTCATCTGGACTCCCAAATGTACTGATGTGTCAAATGGCTAGCATTATAATTTTGATATCGCAAGTAAGTTACCAGACGATATTAATGGTGAGCAAAAAGCTGTGGTTAAATGTTTGCTTGTTTGACTTTTCACATGCACATTAGAAGAACATTAGAAGACAAAGAAAAGTAACTCTTTCAGATGTAAGTCAGAGTATTCAGTCCTTGACGAGAATGCAAGAACATTGTAAGTTTATTTTTCTTTCTCTGTTCGGAGAAATTGCATCTCTGAATGCAAGATTTCAAATGATAATGAGCTGGTAACATGTAGTAATAGTCATTTTCCTGGTTGAAATTCACTGATTTTATGAAAAATCCAACACAGATAATTACATTTTCACTTTGATAAGTACTGGAAATCCAGTAAATATAAACAATGATATACATTGAGTAAATTTTAGGGAGATTCTCAAAAGCAGGACAGAGACATGAAGGGGGTTGGGGGTTGGGAATTTTAAAGTCCAGAACAGGTACCTGACAGATACAACTTGTTCTTGCTCCTCTGGCTCTCTGTTGGTTACCAACATCTCAGGCCATACTCCATGGGCAGCAAATGCATGCACATCCCAGGACCTCCAGCTCTCTGTTGGCAAAGCAATGTGCCTATTTCCTTTTGTCTGACACCTCTGGGAATATTAACAGCTGCAGACTGCCAGTGTCTGCTCAGATTTGCGGTAAATTGAGAAGAACTGTGCCAACACCCGGAATCCCGGGAGATCCTGGCCATTGCCAGTACTTCTGCTTGTGACAAATGGGAGAACATGACTTGCAGTGGCACTGTAGGGGCATGGTGCATAGGTAACAAGACAAGTTTGGGGAATATAGCTTGAGAAATCTTGCTAGCCCTCAAGGAAAGAAACTCTCCAGGAAAACTCACCAAAACTGACACTTGGCTGATTTCGGCCAACACTGATCTGGAGATACTATATGGATAAGATTTAGCAGCAAATATGTAGAAATGGAGGCAGGGACGTTAAGGAAATGAAGGAAGGTATTTCTGTGTGGTTGATGGTGTGAAGTCAGAAGCTCAGTTTAGGAGCAGACAGGACCCCTATGTTTCAAGTAGCTTGGTTTGTTCACAAATATTGACTGGAAAAATAGATAAAAGCAGTGACGAAGGTACTGAGTCAGCGGTCATAGCAAAAGACAGAGGTCAGAATCTTATGGGTTGACCTGGAGTGTTTAGAAAAGTTTTGGTGGGGAGGGCAAAATTCAGGTTCCTGGCATCAGGTTACAATCCTTGCACTAAGTTCTCAGAACCACTTTAGGTAGCTTGGTTTTCCTGATTGTAATTATTGGGAACCTTCTCTGCATTCATGAGCATTCCCATGGATACTCATTAATACCCCAGACTGCAGGAGTTACATTGACAGTCACAAAAGAGAGAAGAAGTGAGTGACTGCAAACCTGAGCCTATATATGTATCTATTCATGTATCAGGTGGGGAAGACTTCCTCCTGGAACCTCCTAAGTATACATTTCTTTTACTAGCCTCGGCACTTCATAAACAAGGCATATCCTTAGATTGTTGCAGTGTAAGGGATGCACGCTGCCCAGTGGTGTCTCCAAGATTGTGATTCTTTGCTGTGCTCTACACAGCCTAGATCACCAACAGCCTAGCAGAGGGGGGATGGAACAGCCTCCTATGTCCTAAGATGAGGAAGAAGGGGAATCTAGCAGAGATGTTGAGGCAGATGAAGCTGATGATGCTGGTGTTGAAAAAGCCAAGGCAACAGCGAGGCATTGCAAATGGCTAGATTTGACACTGATTGACTTTAGAATAACATTTATGGAGACTCAGAGCTAGGATCCAACTGTGATGTTTCTTTGCTGAAGGGAATATTTGATTTCCAACAATTAGTCTTTATGTTTTTTTGTTTGGTACTTTATTGAAGTTATTTTGTTAGCTTTGCAGAAATGATTTCCTACTCAATTTCCAGTCCGAATCATCAGGATGGATTTATCCTAAAATACATGGGTAATATTCATACATTCTTGAGTGAACAAGGAGCACTGATCTATTGCAGAGACATAGAGAGCTTACACATCCGGACTAACTCTCCAAATTCACACACCTAGCTTAAGGTTGCAATTGCCTGAAATGACTCCTCCCAGAAGGCAGCAGAAACAGTCACTCTCAATTCTGCAGGTACAGTTCCACAAGATATTCATGTAAGCACCTACAAAGATCAGCACCCTTCAGGGTTGGCTATAAGAGAAACAGAACCAATCAGCTTTTTTATCAGGTTGAAAGAGATCACACTAATGTAATATGAAGAGTTATATATTGTCACTGTCTGTGTATATGTGTGCTGTGTGTATTTACAGGGGTAAATATCTGTATTTTAATGTTACAAACTAAGTATGTTAACCAATATTCTATTTTCATTTAATTAGTTTTATTTACAACAAATCAATAGTTTTATGATCTCTAAAGAAACTTGATTGATGTATTTTTTATGTTAATTCTAATGTGGAGAAACATCTGATTGGTCACAATACAAAATGGTCAAAACAGTTATTTTTATGTTGGGACGCAGTAGGAGTGAACTTAAAGAAAGACAGTGCACTCCTCCCATCTGTGTCATAACACCACTCACGGGTGTTGACCTTTGTAACCACTTTGGTCCAAGCTGCCTTTGTTGTGCAGGATGGCATCCTGTTGCCATGTTGTGGAAACATTATACCTCTTCCCTCCTGGACAGCATGCATGAGAATGTTTAAGGACACACTGTACAAGTGTGAAGCCACTTTCTGTCTGGTATCAGACATTTCTGGGGTGTGTGGGAGTGACCAACAGAGGCTGAGTGATGCTTCTGGCTTGAAAATGGGAGGTGTTGTCCTTTTAAATATGACACCCAGAACCTAGAGCCCAGGAGGTCCCCTGATGGTTATCGGGATTCCCTATCCACAAGATTTGCCATTCTATTTGTGAGTGCAAAAAGCTGAGAAAAATATAATCATGTGAGATAACTCAACTGACCAATGAGCGGTGGTGTTTTTACAACCAAAACTACACAGTCCCAAAGAAGAATAAAGATTCAGCCTCTGAGTTTGACAATCCCAATGTTTTATTAGTGGAAACTGCAACTCATCCAAGATTGGATCTCAATGAAGAAGTTTGACAACACAAGCAGCGAAGAGGTCATGAGAGATAGTGGAAAAATAAAGCTGTGTTCCATTAAACAAACATATAGGAACTAATCAGCTGCCCATAGATAATATCACCTAGACACAACATATAGGTAACCAAAAGATGTAGTAGCAGAGGCATCTCATTCAACCCATCATCTCCCGCTCCATCAGGAGATTCTCTCTTATCATTCTAAGGAATGGACACATTCAAACATATGAAATATGGGCAGAAGTTGACCATTCGGCCCCTTGACCCTACTCCGCACTCAACAATATCATGACTGATATGCTTGTGTATTGACTTCAATTTCATATCTCCCTAATAATCCTTGATTCCCCGACCTAAAGAGAATCTATCCATTTCTGTCTCAAAGACATTCAGTGAGGCAGCCTCCACCGTATTCGGAGGCAGACAGTTCCAAAGTTGCACATGATGTTCTGAGAAAAAAAAATTCCTCATCACCAAAGGCAACTCATAATTTTAAACATTGTCCTCTACTTCTGGACTGAACCACAAAGAGAAACGTCCTTTCCATGTCCATCTTGACAATAATATTTAGGATCTCAAGCTCTTCAATCAAATCACCCTTCACTTTTTCTAAATTCCAGTGGAAACCAGCCCAGCCTGTCCAGCCTTTCCATTCCAGGTGGCATCCTAGTAAACCTCCTCTGAACCACCTCCACTACAAACTTTCTTAACAAGGAGACCAACATCATATTCAAGATATCGTCTCACCAATGTCCTGTTTAGTCAAAGCATAATATCCTTACTTCATGTTTAATTTCTCTTGTGAGACAGGATAGCATCCCATTAGCCCTCTTGATTATTTACTATGTCTGCATAATAACCTTGTGTCACTCATGCTTCAGAATACCTACATCCCTCTGCATCTTGAAATTCTGCATTTTTTTAAAATGTCCCTTAAGTCATCCTCTATCTTTTCATTATTCCTGCCAAAGTGAACAACTTCACATTTTCCCACATTATACTCCATCTACCAGATTTCTGCCTATTCACTCAACTGATCTATATCCGTTTGCAAATTCCTGGTGTTTTCTTCACCACATGCTTCCTTTCCTATTTCCATGTCATCTGTAAATGTAGCTCATTCATTCTCCTCATTTAAGTCATTTGTATAAGGATGTGGCCCCAGGACTGACCCCTCTGGTACTCCACTTGTGTCAGTCATGCCTCTCCTGTGGTAGTTTTTCAAAGTGACAGAGAGGGAGAGAGCAAATTGTGAATTCAGAGCAGTGCAGTGTGATGAGGATTAAAGGAATAGAGTACCAGGCATTGCCTGGACACGGGAGTAGTGAGAGAAAATGGGCCCAACTCATCATAATGGGGAGTGAGGCCTAAAGGGGTAATGGGATGGTGGTACACAGGGGGAGAAAGTGTTGGGGAAGTGAGGCATATCGATGGAGTTTTCAACAAGCTCGATTTGGGACAAATGGTGAACATCCAAAAACAAGCCAAAAGAGTTTTTTTTTGATTGAAAAATGATCTCACTGATCAGAGCTGCTCACAGCAAAAAAAAGCTTGACGAGTACTTGCTCGCAGAGATGGCACTCTTGTAATTAACATGGATAAACAAAAACAGATCCTGTTAATGTTTAAAATTAAGGTTTTTTAAAAAATGAAAAAGAAATGTTTTGGCATGAAAACCTCAGATAGTGATAACGTCATCTTTAGTGCTGTGTGCAAAAGGGACGAGGCGTTGTCTTTGGCCACAGTTCCGCCTTAAATTGAGTGCTGAAAGCAATAGCAGTATTGTGTCGGGGCGAGCAGGATTCAGAGCGCTTGCAAGTTCCAGCTACAACAAGCAGGTAAACTTGGGAAGGGATAGGCGAGAGCTGTTTGCAGTAAATGTGTTGGGGCAGCTATATCCATTTCAGGCGTAGACTGCAGGTGTTTGGAGGAAAGAGTTGCAGCACAGGCACTTATTTTTCTGAGCGCGACATGCACCAATGACAGATCGGTTCTCCCTGGACTGAAGCGCGCTGCACTGAAATTGATTTTTTTTTCCTAGCGCTGGGCAGTTGGAGTGTTGCGTGCAGGAGTTTCTGTTTTAGTCCAGTCTCCTTATAAGGTAAAACTCAAGATCCGGAGGTTGAAATGACTCTGCAAACCTGTCTCCCCTAGAAAGGGGGCAACTGGAAACTTAGCGGTATCATTTTAGAGATAGTAGCTCCAATTCATGTGAGGAATTGCTTTAGTAATGAAACGGTCGCATTAAAAGCGTCAGCCAAAGTTGATTTATGGAGTTTTCAGGATTACAAATGTAACAAATAAATAAACTGAATCGCTTTGAGTGCTAGCTTTTAATTCTTTTTACGTCTACTTGTTTGCAAAATCCTGATATTAATGCGAGTTTTAAAAAAAAAAAGCAAAAACGCTAAATTGGAAGCGTTTTCACTTATTTACATTGAACTCTTGCCAACTGGAAAGATTTCTAAAGCAATTGCATAGCTTAGAGCTCACAAGATGACTTGCATGGCAGTTTGGAAACTGAAAAAGAGGTGGGTTCTAACAGGCTTGTAGTACAGTAAACAGATTATTTGCGGGGAGCGGGAGAGAGAGAGAGAGAGAGAAATGTCCAAGGCGAATGGGTTTAGAAAAGCTTACTAAGCAGTAAGTGTCTTACAAACCTGCACAGACCCAGAAAAAAAACTATTCAAAAGAATGGGTGGGGTTAATGATGGTCCTAAAAGGAAATCTCATGGAGACAGAGTGCCTGGCTGAAGCACTAAATGAATCCTCTGCATTTGTCTTTCTCTCATGGAAAGATGCTTCCAAAGTCACAGTCAAAAGGAATGGAATTGCAAACTTGAGTAGGATAAAAGGATGTGCTTGAGTAGCTGGCGGCACTTAAGTTACCCAATGCAGATGGAATGCATCCTAGGTTGCTGAGGGTGGAGTCTGTAGCCACAGTATTTCAGTCTTGCTTGGCACCCGCTTGTCTCTACAGAGCTAGGAGTTGAATATTTTACAACTGGGGCCCAAATAAAAGGGGATAAACCAATCATTAGTGGCCAGTCAGCCTAATGTTGGAAATGAAGCAAATCCTGAGATCATTTTGAGAACAAAATTTCTTCTCAATTGGAGAATCAAAAGTTAATACAACTGTCATTTTACTTTTCTTTCATTAAAGGCATATTTCACTGGAGAAATAATGTCATAATGAAGGTATGATGTGAGGATGGTTGATGGGTATACATTTATGTCCTCAGGAGGTATTTGTCAAAAGTGGGCATGGATTTGGTACAGAGACTGAGTAGCAATAAATAATTGCTTTGAACTAAAGGGAAGTGCACAGTGGTGCCCCCTAGAGACTGGCTTTTAAACTTCTGGTCTTTTTGTTTGACTTTTACCAGGACTTACTTACAAACTTTGAAATTAAACAAGATAAAATTTAGAAGTTGGTTGTAGATTGTGGGAGTGAAGTGGACTCAGGAATGTCGAGACAGATAATTGAAACTCGGATTGTGAAGTCAGTTCTAAATACTTGTATTTAATCTAGACCTTTTTTTTGATTTAAGGAATGCCTTAGACTCAGATACTCAACATGGAATCTGAAGTCTTGCCTTTCTTGGGATGCAGTCCCTTCAGATTCCTCTTTAAACGAATGGTATTCAAGTTATTCTTCTGTTCCTGTCAGTGGTCACTGAGGCAAATATGGAAACCAAGGTCCTATGTGATAAGTTGAACTTTAATTGCTATTTAAGGTAGGAAATGCACAGTGTATGTTGCAATCAGTTCCATTACCAATTGGGGAAACAATGCCCTCAAAAGGCATCCTTCAAATCATTTTGCTCATAGTCTTACATCACAGAAAGACTCTTTGGTTCCAACCAATCCATACCAAACATAATCCCTAATGCAAAAACAAAAAAAGCAGAAATTGCTGGAAAATCTCAGCAGATCTGGCAGCACCTGTAAGAGAAATCAAAATTAATGTTTTTTGGGTCTGGTGACCTTCCCTCAGAACTGTGGATTTAACAGCATCTGAGGGCCTTTCAGGGGTTTTTAATAATGAGGTGCTTCTGCTACTGTGGAGTACTGTAGGCCAATGTTGCCTCTGGCAATGTCATCCCTTATGATCATGTCCACTCAACTTGCTTTGCTGTTAGCAGCTCAGACTTGAGCTGGGGGATTGTGAGTCTACTTTTTTGGTATCTCCTAAAGTGGTTAGCGCTGCTGCCTTAAATCACCAGGGAACCAGATTCAGTTCCACCCTCGGGCAACTGTCTGTGTGGAGTTTGCACATTCTCCCTGTGTCTGTGTGGGTTTCCTCCCACAGTCCAGAGATATGCAGGCTAGATGGATTGGTCATGCTAAATTGCCCACAGTGTTCAGGGATGTGTAGATTAGGAGAATGGGTCTTGGGTGGGGAATGCTCTGAGGTTCAGTGTGGACTTGTTGGGCTGAGGGGCCTGTTCCCACACTTAGGGATTCTATGAATCCCTGATCTTAAGCTTGAGATTTGACACTTCATCTGCTTGTGTGGTGGGAGGGGGGGAGAAGCCTCCCATGACTTTACAAGTTTTCCTAGCTCTTTTAGTTAAATATTTCTTTGAACAGCTGCTTGCTCTCTTCTCCTCCACCCCCACCTGACAGCAAAAACTTCTCCCCTCGTCATTATACTCATTTACACTCCTTTTAGCCTGCTGCATGCTCCTCTGATCACAGGTTGGTTCCTTCCTGCATCTACTGCTGAGAGAACCTGAGTGGTGGAGCAACTGTTTTGACAGTCTTCCTGCAGAAGGAATCTTTACCTGATGCTGCACTGCTTGTGCTATCTCCAATAACTTGTACAGTATTGCATTACTTTGGCTAGACCCTCAGCATGTGACTCTTATACCTATCATGTTATTCCAGTCATTTGGTTTGTCTCCAGTGCCACCTTTCTTCTTTTACTTTGTTTTTGTAATTAGCTCTCTGCCTCACCTAACTGCATTAGAGGTTATCCCTTTGCTTGTTACTTTACTCTACTTGACACTTTTTTAATCACCTGCAGAGACTTGTTATTCGACACTCCACTCACCACTTGTATGGTTTTTGATCTCTCTACCTGTAGATTGTGCTACTCTCTCTTCACCTGATGAAGGGGCTATGCTCTGAAAGCGTGTGACTTCAAATAAACCTGTTTGACTATAACCTGGTGTTGTGACTTCTGACTTTGTTGCAAACTGGGTATTGAAGAATCCTGTTGGGGGGGGGGGGCAATTATTACAGTGAACTATTGCATGCAAACATAACAATTTGAACAGAATGTGTCAAGTGATCGTGGAGTACAAAACACTTGTACTTTCAAGTCAACTGCTATGTTGCAGTGATGAAGTCATGAGGATGTCTCAAACAAGTGTGGAGTAAGGTATCACCCAATAAAGGTAACATTTCTTTGATTTAGTTTTTTTTTAAACAAACACTTAGACATTTTGAGGACTTTGGGTTGAATTCATCCACCTTTTTGGGCTCATCTTAAACATCAGTTAGATTTTTGAAAAGAAAAGCAGTGAAAGTTAATCTTTTATAGCTTCTCTTTTTTTTTTCCCCCCCCCCCCCCCCCCACCTTGGAATGAATAGGCTTAGAATTTTTGGCTATTGTTCACCAAAGTGGGAAGTCCCAATCAGCATGTTTTAGACAGTGACTTGGACAACAAGTAGCAATACGTTCTATTACTTCTGTTAGTTTCAATGAGCTTTGTTAAAGTTCAGCTCCTAAATTTCAAGAGGATGCTAAATACAATGTCCATAATGGTGTCACTTCATCTTTAAGAGGGAGGTTGCTGTGTTACTTTTTTGATTACAGAGGATCACATTAACAGAATTGATTATGTGTCTTTTTTTTTCCCAGTTAGTGTCTCCTTGGAACTGTGCACAAAGACCAACTGGGAATATTGTAATATCTGACATTCTGCTGTGATCAAACTTACAATATGTTGGGTTTGGTTACTTTGACTCAAGATTTTGAGGCTTTAGAAAGTCAAAAATACAGTGGCAGCCTCAGTAATAAAGTCAGCCTTCTCATGAGGATAGAGAAGGAAAACAACTGAAGGCCATTGTAGGTATATCTGGTGTGACTTTTGACAGAATAAAGACAGCTTTCAAATGGTAATATTGAAGCTAAATATACTTTCTGTATGTTAGACAGTCTAATTTGAGGGGGAGGGAGGGAAACCTGTTAATTGTGACCATTTCACTTCCATTCAGAAGTGATTGGCATGTGTTTGATCCTTTTAAGGATATCAAGTAGATATTGACTGACTACTATACCTTGCTTTATCACCTTTTTTTTTAAAAAAAAAAATTATTTCAATATGTGAAGCAGCAATGAGAGTCCCAAATGGTCACTCTCTTTTTCAGGCTAACTCATCTAATTTAGCAACTGATATGCAGTTGCTGTATTTGGGATTTGAAATGCAAGGAATTTTGGTTGTTCTTCTCTTAGAAATCTGAAGTTAAACTCTTAAGGCTGCAATTGGTGACCTTTTTTTTCCCCTCCCAACAACATGGGTAGTTTTTCTCTTTTTTTTTTTGAATAAATGCTGATTATGCTTTATTTAATTCTTTCAATGAGTGCACCTAACTGGTCAGTCATGGTGACCTTGCATCCATGTGTTCTCAGGCTTGAGAGCTGTTGTAATAGAATGCACTGTTGTCCTTTAACCTGCATTTGATTTTTGAGGTATGTAATCAAGATTAGGAACTAGTTGTTGTCTTTTTTTTCTGCTTCAGTTTAATTTTTTTTCTCTCTACTCCAAGGCAGTAGGTTGTAAACCCTGACCTCGGGGTTGGGGTTTGGCTTTTAGTTAACTGTGACGTG